CTGTTCCACTCCTTCACTTTTCATTTTTCCTTCACCTTCCCTTCTGGGGTTCTGTTTTCATTTTATTTTCAGGGTGACACTTCAGGGGACTATCGGAAAACCCTTCTCAAGTTGTGCGGCGGTAACGACTAAGCAGAAGATCTGGAATTTTGGAATGTGTCTTTCAAACTCACAGCTAGCTTCATGTTATCCTTTCACACAAAGCTGTCAAAACGCCCACTGCTGGATCGGATTGATATTCTTAATATATTCCATCCTCTAAAGGTATATAATAAATACAGGAATATATATAGTTTCTAATAGAATACCTGGTCTACTGTTATGATTACTTTTGCCTTACAGCCCCAACCTAGGAGCGTTTTGCAGGCCCAAGTCGCTACTGCGATAAACTATTTCTGTAAATTTAGATGTTGCTGACAAAGAGTTAAAGGGAGACTAGTATAGCTATTTTGAGCTAGCTGATGAGAGCTAAATAGCTTGAAATAGCTATACTAGTCTCCCTTTNATATATATATATATATATATATATATATATATATATATATATATATATATATATATGTCTTCTGTAGTTGATAGAGATATTTTTTGCTGCATTCTTAGAGAAACTCTTTCACTGCAAATGTTGCCTCTGAGAAACACTCCCTTTAGAGTACAGAAGGATCCTCTGTAGTTTTGTGTGCAATATTTTTGTCTAGCTGTGTGGACTTTTTGTGTGTTTGTTTGAAATGCATGGAGTGGTTGTTTTGTTTTGTTTTTAAATCCGAATCAAAAGTGCCTGTTCTGAAATGTGATGAGTTTAATTCCCAAAGGTTTTTATTTCATTACTGTTTGAGGAGGGGAAAGATACCTCTGGCTGATGGCCTGGGAAAAAATAATAATTTTTGTATTCATTGGAATACCAGGGCTCAGAGTTTGATGTACAATCAAAGCATCATTGGGAAAATGTCAACGAAGACTCAAATCATCCAGGCCAAAAGTATCAAAATGGTTGATATGCATCCAAGTTCATTAACTCTGAGACATTTTCGTTGCTCATCCCAGCAACTTCATCAGTCAAAGTAAAAAAATAGAGAGAGTCGGGAGAGCCTAATTATTATTATTATTTATTTTGATTGATGAAGTTGCTCGGATGAACAATGAAACATTTCAGATTAACAAAGTTTGGTCCAGTTGCCATGATTCAACCTTTTAGATACCTCATTTTTTGGGAGAACTCATTAGAGTGTGTCGATGAATGCTTTTATTCCTGATATTAATTTCAATATCGGATGACATCCTTTTTATTGGGACAATGAAAGGGGGAGAAGAATTAAATCTCTTCCTGCGTGCTATGAAAATTCCCCTATTTTCCATCCTACTGATCAGGTTTTTTTAAAAAAGAAATATCAATAATACCTTAAATCTTTGGGAAGTCTTCCAGTCCAATCATCCATTCACTCGTTTCTTCTCTAAGTGGTTTATCTAGAACACAGGTTGTTCATGAAACCCTAGTTCAGGGGTAGGCAACCTTGGCTCTTTTATGACTCGTGGACTTCAACTCCCAGAATTCCTGAGCCAGCATGAGGGGAACTATGGCCCCCTCAGGACTCGTGGACTTCAACTCCAAGAATTCCTGAGCCAGCATGGCTCAGCGTGGAAACCTCTCCCTTTCCCCTCAGCCCGGCTGGCTCAGGAATTCTGGGAATTGAAGTCCACGAGTCATAAAAGAGCCAAGGTTGCCTACCCCTGCGCCTAGTTCATACAACTCCTTTTGCAGGGATTTTGATTTCCAAATAAGTTGTAATAGAAACCAAGCTAAGTATCCTCATTTAAGGAGAGCTGGAGCATTCCCCATTCTGCTTTTCACACATCCCCAAAATTATTTCTTTCTTTAAGGACATATTGCTTAAATTGTGCTACAACTCATTGCCGGCTTCCTATGGAAATACACGCCAAACTTTTTCTCTGTCAGTGATTTGAGTCACTCCTTTTAAACCAAATATATGCAATCTTTTTTTAAAAAAAAAAAAACCCCACACGTTGTTTAAATAAAATTATCTATCTTCTCAAGTTTCTTGCGTTGCTTATTTGGGCTGTGTGTTGGGGACATATATTCTCTCCTGACATCACTGTTTGGACACTGAATTGGGTTACTTCATTGGTTACTCTGGCTAAAATGTTGATGACCACGCTTGTAATATTGCCTCCAGTTTTGGTCGCGATAGTATAAAAAAGATGTTGAGACTCTGGAAAGAGCACAGAGAAGAGCAACAAAGATGATCAGGGGACTGGAGGATAAAACATATGAAGAACGGTTGCAGAAATTGGGTATGCCTAGTTTAATGAAGAGAAGGACCAGGGGTGATATGATAGCAGTCTTCTGATATTTGAGGGGCTGCCACAAAAAAGGGGGTCAACCTATTCTCCAAAGCACCTGAAGGCAGGACAAGAAACAGTGGATGGAAACTCATCAAGGAGAGAAGCAACCTAGAACTAAGGAGATTTCCTGACAATGAGAACAAGTAACCAGTGGAAATTGTTGCTTCCAGAAGTTCTGAGTGCTCTACCACTGGAGGTTTTTAAGAAGAGATGGGACAACCATTAGTCTGATATGGTATAGGGTCTCCTGCTTGAGCAGGGGATTGGACTAGAAGATCTCCAAGATCCCTTCCAGCTGTGTTATTCTGTTCCATATGAGTTCTTTTAGACCAATAGGCATTTAATAATAATAATAATAATAATAAAGTTGGAAGGGACCTTGGAGCCTAACACTAATATCATGCTAGAGTTTCCACTTTCCCAATAAATGTTGCAGCAGAATTCAGTTTGCTTCTGTGGCCAGTGATGGCCATTTGCTTTCTCCTTGCACACTCACTTTTTAAAAAGTGCAAGTCGCTTGGAAGAAACTTTTGGAATGCCATCTGATGTCTCTGCATCCTGCTTGCAGCATTCCATCAAATCCAGCTGTTATGGGACACTTACACCCAGAGGCTGCCAACTTTTGGCCAACGCTCCATAAATGGAATCTAGAGCTTGAAAAAAAAAATGCTGCTTTAAGGTCACTCTGTAGCTTCTGCTCCAGATTATCTTGGGCTTCTGATTCATGCTGAGTTTGAAAACAGCTTGATCCAATGAAATGTTCCATCTTGTCCAGCCTTTGGCTTCAGTTTCCTACAGAGTCCATCTGGATGATTCTGAGAAGAAGAGCATAAACAGCAAGAACAGTGTGCTAAGTTCACGCCTTGCACAGATTTTTTTCCAGCCATGTCATTGACATTTTTTTCCAGCCATGTCATTGACATCAACAACAATTTATGTTGTTTTGGGCACGAAATGAGACCACGCGAACAAATAGTTCTGAGTTCCTCATGTTTAAACTGTTCTCAACCAGCATGGGAGATGAAAAACACAAGCAAACAGGTCTGTCTTTATTTGTACCTAACAATGATCCTGTCCCCTCATTGGCCAAATCAATGTTTTGGAACAGAGACATATCAGAGATACAATCTAGCCTTGTGTCCATATTGACAAAACAGAACGTCCAGTGACTAGGAGCTGAAACAGCTGAGGAATCAATTATGGCAGGAGTCTCCAACTTTAGCAACTTTAAGACTTGTGGACTTCAACTCCCAGAATTCCTCAGCCAGCATGTCTGGCTGCGGGAACTGCGGGAGTTGAAGTCCACAAGTCTTAAAAGTTGCCAAGGTTGGAGACCCCTGAGTTACGGGACATCGGATGTCATGCCAGTGTACTTTTCTGCTTAAGGTAGGTGGAGAGCTCTTCAACTCATGAGTGAAGATAGTCCCAAACATCTGACTGTTGAGTCCTTTATTGGATTAGGAGCTGTGATGGGGAATCCATGCTACAACGGACATTCAATCACGAGTCATTCATTATGGATCTAGTGAAGATGCCCATCAATGCTGGAAGAAGAAGGGGAATCTTTAGTCTCACCCACCACCTTAGACTGACTGCATGCTGCTCCGTACGGTGCTTCCTGAAAAAAAGGACTTCTAGGTTTAAGAAGGCAAAGGAGTCATTCAGATTAGCCTTCTCTCCAAAGGGCATTTTCCATGAGTACCGAACTCCAATTTCCATCATGCTTAGTCATCAAGGCTGTGGCTTGTATGAATTGTAGGATCCTAGTTGAGAAATAATTTATGGACCAGTAAGAGAGGACAGGACCCTGAAAGCACTTCTTTTCATAATATTAGTGGACGTTATGGTCAGTGGACAATGTTCACCTTGTACTTCTTCACCATGTTCTATATCAGGGGTCTTCAAACTTGGCCCTTTTATGACTCCCAGAATTCCTTTAATACTTTAATAACTAGGGGGTCCTGGGTGCGCTCTGAGCTGGGTGGGTTTTCTTGCAGGCATTTCATTACCAAACTAGGTAACGTCATCAGTGCTAGAGGGGAGGGGTCGAGGGGAACTTTAATAGCTCTTTAAGGCAGATCAAGAGGTGACATAGCTGTGCATGCTGGGAAGCATAGAAGTGCAGTGTGGGAAGAACAGGCTCACCCATTGGCCAGTTGTCCAAATGCCTACTCGGCAAATTGTTTGTCAAGTTGAGTAAGTTTATTTATTTATTAAATGTATGCGCCGGCCATCTCGAGTAAGACAATGGGAGGCTAAGTTTCAAGAAACAGAATGACAGAGTTGGAAGGGACCTTGGAGGTCTTCTAGCCCAACCCCTTGCTCAAGCAGGGGACCCCAGACCATTTCAGACAAGTGCTTGCCCAATCTCTTCATAACACACACACACACACACACACACACACACATGTGTTGGACCACTGTCTCTTCTTTTTCTTTGTGACCACCTTGAGTCAAGAACATTCTAGCTTCTGTGGTAGAAGTTTTGGCTTTCTAGAACAATCCCATGAAACCACATTAACAAGGTCGAGTCCAACATTTTCACGTTAGCCTCTGACCTGAATCCAAGACTTTCCTCCGGAGCTTAATTGTGTCTTTTTTTCCTTTTGCATTTTGAATGAAAACCCAAATTACCATAATTTACCATCATAAAATCCCAGCCTTTGGAGATTTTTTTTTTTTAATTTTCAACTTCCCAATCTAGTTTTAGCGGTCTCCTGTTCAAGGACTGATCAAGGCCCACCTGGCTTCGTCTACAAGAAAACATTAGCCCATGCTACTGCACTCAGGGACATGTTTTCAACTAACATGACACATGTTTACTCAATGCTGCTGTCCATCACAACACTTTATAGACCGGCTGGGTTTCAAGGTTGAGGCAATATCAAAAGGCAACTTGAAGGCTGACTCTGCTGAAGTAAAAGTTCACAATCTGGATTTTCAGCCCATCGACTGGAAGCTCAACTAGGATCTAGAAAGAGAAAGGGGAGCTGGGTTGATAACCTTTTCAGACACAGCAAAGGCTATAGTTGTTGACAAAAGACAGCAACAGATAACATTCAGTCTGGTCCTTCCAATAACCCAAAAAAGGGAAGGGAAGGGAAGGGAAGGGAAGGAAAGGAAAGGAAAGGAAAGGAAAGGAAAGGAAAGGAAAGAAGGAAAGGAAAGGAAAGACAGTATAGGGGTGACTTCTGCAAATTGTTCATCCTTCTACACCCCTTGGTAGACTATTCCAAAGTTCAACCACTTTTTTTGAAGCAGTTTTTCAGAGGCCTTTAGTCTTTCTGTTTGCTAAAGCCTTTATTTTATTTTTAAAAAATGTCAAGTCAACTCCTGATGGCCACACGATCACATCCTACGTGTAGCAGTGGTTTGAAACTGTTCCTCCAGGATGTACTTTTACCTTTTTCATTCCATCTTATAATGCTAGGACATCCTTCTAATCTTCTGTCCAAATATAGATGTCACCCGGCTTAAGCTATGGGTCCAAAGTCAGTTATTTATTCATCAAAGGACATTTGATTCATGGAACGGAGAAGCAATTCTTATGTTCCCATCCCTGTATCTAACGGCGCCTGGATATTCCTATTTGCACTTAGCTTACGGTCGATGTATTTAAATGCAATAGTTCTAATGGCTAACAATCTCCTCAAATGCATGCCATGATTACACCTTTATCATTGGAGAAATGTCTATGGAGATTCTCAGTCATTCAGGTCATGCTTGTCCCAAAGGTGCCTTGGGATATGACACCAACCATCTCTAGTCTACAACACAATCCTTTCAGCAATTCCAAGAAGATTCCACATCCATTTTCACTGTTCTATTCTATTCTATTCTATTCTATTCTATTCTATTCTATTCTATTCTATTCTATTCTATTCCATTCCATTCCATTCCATTCCATTCTATTCTACAAACGAACGTACATGATGCCATCAAGAGAGTCAAAGAATGGAAATGGAAATGGGCTGGTCACATGGCAAGAAGAACTGAGGGCAAGTGGACCAAGACAGTCACAGAATAGATCCCCCTTGATGAGTAGCATACATGAAAGAGACCTAAAACAAGATGGGTTGATGACACCAGCAAGTATGGCGGACCCAACTGGCAAAAGGAAGCTCAGGACCGTAATGGTTGGAAACATGAGAAAGAGGTCTTCATCCTGCAGTGGATGGACCATGGCTAGAATGATGGTGATGGTGGTGATGATGGTGATGAAGAAGAAGAAGGAGGAGGAGGAGGAGGAGGAGGAGGAAGAAGAAGAAGAAGAAGAAGAAGAAGAAGAAGAAGAAGAAGAAGAAGAAGAAGAAGAAGAAGAAGAAGAAGAAGAAGAAGAAGAAAGAAAGAAAGAAAGAAAGAAAGAAAGAAAGAAAGAAAGAAAGAAAGAAAGAAAGAAAGAACCTGTGTTAATGCAGATTCTCAGTCCTCCAGGTCATGGTTGTCCCAAAGGTACTTTTTCAAGAGGCAACTGGACTTCCTTGTTTTTCTTTGAAGACCTTTTGCTTCTCATCCAAGAAGCTTCTTCAGTTCTGCACTGAAGTGAAGTCAACTTGCAGAAGCTTCAGTGAACTGAGGAAGCTTCTTGGAGGAGAAGCAAAACACATTCAAGGAAACAACAAAGAAAGGATAGTTGCCTTTTTTGGGAAAACACCTATGAGTAAACCCCTGTGAGTTTGTCAGTGCAACAGTACTACAAAACCCATATTTCAAGTCCATCCTGTACTTGGCCCTCCATACAATGATGGAAGCCCTCCAGTGGGTTTATCCAGTAGTAGGGCTCCTAAAAAAGGAGAGCTGTGCTTTCAAACTACCGTAGTTGGAGAACTTCTGAGAACTCTTGCACCCCATATCTCGACCCATCGATTGGGTGGGGACATTCCACTTGGCTCGGCTCCCCACTTCCTACCTTCGAAGAGATCTACCAGTGGGGTCCCAGGAGCAAGTGGCTTGGTCCACGCAGTTTCACTAACATCGTTGAGCAGTGACTTGACTTCGGAGTCCAAATGTTCAACTGTTTTTTCCAGTTGCTGATGGAAGGAGAGAAGAAATTTGGGGATCTTATTGGCCTCGCTACTTCATGCTTAAGACCTAGTAACTCACTCACCCAACATGCTAAGGTTAGTGGTAAGCTTGATTTGGTTTCCTTGCGGCTTAAAGTGTTATGGAAACTCAACCTTTTGGGGTTAGCCTCTAATTCAATTTATTGGGCAAACTTATATAGGTTAATTCAGGAACCAGGCTAAGAAAATTGTATAAATCGAGCCAAAAAAACCCCACTTAATTGCAAATAATAGGAAAATCAGAATGAAAGGATTCTGGGGGGGAGGGAATGGACAGAGATGGCTTTTGTCAACCGATCACTTATGTTGGAAGCAAGTCTTCTTAAAGACCACACAACTTCCAAGTTGTAGTTTGCAGCAAATGCTTCTTCTTCTATTCAAGTAATTTATCAAGGGGAATAGTCAGAGATGCCAGAATAAGAATTGCTCTTATGCAATTGAGGTTTGTAGAAGAAAGTCCTTAATCCAGGATTAATGCATCCATTGCGACATTGCCTAACGGCTGCCTTGGAATCGACACACTCTGACTTAATTCTGAATGGAAAGGGAACATTCTTAACCATTGCTCACTAATGGATTTCCATCAAAGGGCAACTCACATATGACCCTGTTCAGCTTCTTTCACAATTGCTCAGGGTCAGCTAGGAGTCACCATCTGAGCTGGACAATACATGCAGTTTTTTTCTAAGTCATATGACCGCGAATCATATAACTCGTTTTTGTCTATTTTACCAGCAGGTCTCCATTCTTTAAGGTGAAGGTGATATTCCTAAATTTGCTACTCAAGTCCTTCCTCCCTCCTTCCCTCCCTCCCTTCCCATTTGTCTTTTCTTTCTTTCTTTCTTTCTTTCTTTCTTTCTTTCTTTCTTTCTTTCTTTCTTTCTTTCTTTCTTTCCTTCCTCCCTCCCTCCCTCCCTCCCTTCCTCTCCCTCCCTCTCCATGTCTTTTCCTTCCTTCCTTCCTTCCTTCCTCCCTCCCTCTCCATCTGTCTTTTTCTTTCTTTCTTTCTTTCTTTCTTTCTTTCTTTCTTTCTTTCTTTCTTTCTTCCTTCCTTCCTTCCTTCCTTTCTTTCTTTCTTTTCTTCTTTCTTTCCTTTCTTCCTTTCTTCCTTTCTTCCTTCCTCTCTCCCTCCCTCTCCATATGTCTTTTCCTTCCTTCCTTCCTTCCTTCCTTCCTTCCTTCCTTCCTTCCTTCCTTCCTTCCTTCCTTCCTTCCTTCCTTCCTTCCTTCCTTCCCAAAATCTTCTCAACAGATTACCTCCCTCTCTCTGGAAGCTGAAGTCCACACAGCTTAAGGGTTGCTGAGGTGGAGAAATACTGCTCTAGACCTTCTGATTTTGTTTTCCATTTTCCATTGTTCCATTTCCTGCAACCCAGTTCCAGAACTCTGAGCTTCCGTTTCCCCCATGGAACCGGGACCCTCTTGTGCGCAGGGAGGTGGCAATAAGCATCCTGCATCTTGTGCCACTGCATCTTCTCACCTCTTGGACAGCATCCAAACGCTTGTGAATGGTGCTGGGATCATCACACCAGTCATCTTGCTCTGAGGTTCCCTGAGGGTCAGCAGCAGGACCAACTGCAACTGGAAAAGGAGAAAAGCAAATGTCTTGGTGAACTTTTTCACAGTTGGGTTCATCCATAGTTTCCCCTCCCTCTCCTTGTTGTTATTTTTCTTTGGGGTTCTTTTGGCTTTTCTGGTGCTCTCAGTGCTGACTCGGGATCACTGCCTGCAAAGGTCCCTGTGGTTTTCTTGGCCCTATTTCAGAAGTGGCGTGGCATTGCCCTCTTCGTCTTCGAATTGAGAGAGATTCCTCTGTTCGTTTTGTGCCTGATGACTAGAACTCACGGTCTCCCAGTTTCCTAACCTGGTGCCTTTAACCACTACATCAAACGCACGCTCTTGTTTTTATTCATTTAAGATGAACCAGTCAGACCCAGTTCAGGACCACAGTTGGAAAGCAGTTGGAAACCCCCCTCTCCAACTATTTCTCTGGAGATTAAAAAGATCTCTGAAGACTTTCCATTTCTCTTTTAGCTCTCTTCCTCTCTCCTAGTAATCAGCTAGAAANTTCCTTCCTTCCTTCCTTCCTTCCTCCCTCCCTCTCCATCTGTCTTTTTCTTTCTTTCTTTCTTTCTTTCTTTCTTTCTTTCTTTCTTTCTTTCTTTCTTTCTTTCTTCCTTCCTTCCTTTCTTTCTTTTCTTCTTTCTTTCCTTTCTTCCTTTCTTCCTTTCTTCCTTCCTCTCTCCCTCCCTCTCCATATGTCTTTTCCTTCCTTCCTTCCTTCCTTCCTTCCTTCCTTCCTTCCTTCCTTCCTTCCTTCCTTCCCAAAATCTTCTCAACAGATTACCTCCCTCTCTCTGGAAGCTGAAGTCCACACAGCTTAAGGGTTGCTGAGGTGGAGAAATACTGCTCTAGACCTTCTGGTTTTGTTTTCCATTTTCCATTGTTCCATTTCCTGCAACCCAGTTCCAGAACTCTGAGCTTCCGTTTCCCCCATGGAACCGGGACCCTCTTGTGCGCAGGGAGGTGGCGATAAGCATCCTGCATCTTGTGCCACTGCATCTTCTCACCTCTTGGACAGCATCCAAACGCTTGTGAATGGTGCTGGGATCATCACACCAGTCATCTTGCTCTGAGGTTCCCTGACGGTCAGCAGCCGGACCAGCTGCAACTGGAAAAGGAGAAAAGCAAATGTCTCGGTGAACTTTTTCACAGTTGGGTTCATCCATAGTTTCCCCTCCCTCTCCTTGTTGTTATTTTTCTTTGGGGTTCTTTTGGCTTTTCTGGTGCTCTCAGTGCTGACTCGGGATCACTGCCTGCAAAGGTCCCTGTGGTTTTCTTGGCCCTATTTCAGAAGTGGGGTGGCATTGCCCTCTTCGTCTTCGAATTGAGAGAGATTCCTCTGTTCGTTTTGTGCCTGATGACTAGAACTCACGGTCTCCCAGTTTCCTAACCTGCTGCCTTTAACCACTACATCAAACGCACGCTCTTGTTTTTATTCATTTAAGATGAACCAGTCAGACCCAGTTCAGGACCACAGTTGGAAAGCAGTTGGAAACCCCCCTCTCCAACTATTTCTCTGGAGATTAAAAAGATCTCTGAAGACTTTCCATTTCTCTTTTAGCTCTCTTCCTCTCTCCTAGTAATCAGCTAGAAAAAGGTCCAGGTCTTTTATGAACTCCGTCTTGACCTGTGCAGCAGTTCTGTGTGCTTGTAAATAAATAAAAACAAATGGGTAAGACACATACTTCGTTTTCAAATAACATGTCATTTGACCGTGTCTTAGATAGAGCTCCGCAGCTGGCAACATTTATACAATCATGAAGAAATTAAGAAGGTTTATGTTTGGTGAGGACATAGATTTTCTAGACTTACTAGAAAATCTTATAGCTGTGGGCTAGATTGAGTATTCCCAAAGGTGCTTTTTCAGGAGGCAACTGGTGGGGAAGGGAAGGATTTATATTCCTTGCAGACCGCTGGTCATTTGCATTCTTTTAGAGAGTCGTTGAGGCCACTTGGAGGTTTATCTGTGTCCTCAGGGTCACCTGAGTGGTGCAAATGGGTGTGGAGCCTTCTTAGCTGCAGGATGTTTTCTGCTCTGGGTCTCTTCAACACAGCATCCTGCAGCCATGAAGGCTCCACACCCATCTGCACTATTCAGGTGACCCTGAGGACACAGGTAAACCTCCAAAATGATTTCAAGGTCCCTCTAAAACAAGACAAAAGACCAGCTGTCTGCAAGGAGTATAAATCCTTCCATTCCCCACCATCCAGTCAGAGCTGAAGAAGCTTCTTGGATGAGAAGCAAAAGGTCTTCAGAGAGAAACAAGAAAGTCCCATTTAATGAACTCTAGCTTGGAAAAATCCCAGGTTCCATCAGTCCTTTTTTGGGGGGGGGAGTTGAAAACACTACTTCCTTTGTTTTCTTCTCAATGGTTCCTTTCTCTCCTTCTTTTTTTTTCCTACAATGTTTTGCCCTTGCCTCTTAAAAGGCAGAATAAGTTCCCCACTAAGGAAGAATAACGAGTTGTGATTATAAAAGCAAGAAAACCTTTCTCTTCTAACTCCTTGGACGTCCATCAAGCTTTAAATCTGGTTTGTAGTTGAGTTCCCCACCCACTTAAGAATGAGGACAAGCCAAAACTATGTCCATTTTGCTGGTTTCAACATCAGGGAATTGGCTTCAAAGAGAGCAGAAAGCCATTCTCCACACCCCAAGACATTTTAAATGGAAGGGAAGAGACTTTTGACAAGGTCTTTCCTGACAAAGAAAGAAACCACTTTACAAAGGATTTTTTTTTCATCATCGTGTCGTTATAAACTAAAAGCAAGCTCTACGATTGCGAAAAGCATAGGCTGCCAAGCTTATAACTTGGCACTGAGTTTGTAACTTCTCAGTTTCAGCCCTCGGGCACAACGAAGTTAAATCTCCGTCTAGCAGTTGAACTTAACTCGGGGTGACTAAAGTCCGTGGATATATGTTTTTTTTTTCTTGGCAACAACAACAACATCAGCATAACTGGCCACGGCTTTCTTCTGTGCTGTTCCCTCCAGCTTCCCATACTAGGGACTTGAGGCTTAGAGCTGGCTTAGTTTTTTTAGGATTCATCAAACTGGTTAGGTGCCGTGATCTCCTCTTGGCAGAAATCAATTATCAAATTGGGCCAGCTATCCAACTGTGAAACAAAGCATAATTGCAAAAAGAAGCTCTATTCCTGCACTGATCTGTTCCAAGATAGGCCAGCCTAGGCTGAAAGAGGACAAATTCTTTGGCAGTAGAAATGGATGAAGGAAAAAGGTAAAAATTGCATATTTTTTTCTTTTTGGTTCCGGAATTAACCTTCAAACTAGGTAATAATTAACTTGAGTTATGGCCAACAGGAGAAAACTTTCCTGCTGGTGGAACACAAAGGAGAAGAGAAATCAGTGCAAGCGAAATAATTTTTTCCACATGAGGTCCCAGCATCTGCTCGGAATTTCACGGGCCACTGAGAACACAGCAAGCCAACGTCAATCCTTACTCGGCGCGCCCTCCTGACTTCACCGTGATTTTCTCCTTATTAAAATTCCTCTCGGTTCTGCTCAGATAACATCTGCAAATTCAAAAGCTGGCCATTTCACCCGTCTAACCAAGGATGTAAGGGAGATGGGAGTAAGCAATCTTCCAATATTTCAGGGGTTGCCACAGAAAAAGAGGGGGTCGAGCTATTTTCCAAAGCACCAGAAGGCGAGACAAGAAACCACGGATGGAAACCAATCAAGGAGAGAAGCAACCTGGAACTAAGGAGAAAATTCATAACAGTGAGGACAATTAACCAGTGGAACAACCTGCCTCCAGAAGTTGTGGGTGCTCCATCACTGGAGGCTTTTAAGAAGAGACTGGACAACCATTTGTCTGAAATGGTTTAGGGTCTCCTGCTTGAGCAGGGGGCTGGACTAGAAGACCTCCAAGGTCCCTTCCAATTCTATTCTATTCTATTCTATTCTATTCTATTCTATTCTATTCTATTCTATTCTATTCTATTCCATTCCATTTCTATATTCCATTCTATTCTATTCTATTCTATTCTATTCTATTCTATTCTATTCTATTCTATTCTATTCTAATAATAATAATAATAATAATAATAATAATAATAATAATAATAATAATAATAATAATAATAATAATAATAATAATAATAATAATGTTGGAAGGAACCTTGGAGGTCATCTAGGCCAACCCCCTGCTCAGGCAGGAAACCCTATACCATTTTGGACAAATGGCTGTCCAGTCTCTTCTTAAAAACTTCCAGTGCTGGCACATTCACCACTTCTGGAGGCAGGTTGTTCCACTGGTTAATTGTTCTAACTGTCAGGAAGTTTCTCCTTAGTTCTAGGTTGCTTCTCTCCTTGATGAGTTTCCACCCGTTGCTTCTCTCTTTGGTTAGTTTCTATCTGTTGCTTCTTGTCCTGCCTTCAGGCATTTTGGAAAATAGCTTGACTCCCTCTTCTTTGTGGCAGACCCTGAGTTATTGGAACATTGGCTATCATGTCCCCCCCCCGTCCTTCTCTTCGTTAAACTGGACATACCCAATTCCAGCAACCGTTCCCTATATGCTTTAGCCTCCAGTCCCCTAATCATCTTTGTTGCTCTTCTATTCTATTCTATTCTATTCTATTCTATTCTATTCTATTCTATCCAGGTCATCTATGCAAATGAGGTGCATAGTGCAATTTACTCTTTTCTCAATTTAGGATAGGTTTTGTTTTATTTTTTTGGTGGGAAAAGAATACAGGGAACTGAGAGGACTCAGAGATGAACATCTGGACTTGTCTTCACGCTGACCAACTTTGCCAAAAGCATTCCTGTGTCCCCAATTTGGAACGCCAGGGAGTTCCTGTGCAAACAGATCAAACGTCTATTGTTACCCTAAGATGGTCTGATTCGTTCCATTCTGGTCTGTTTACTGGCGAAGGCTTCCTCTCTCCAACAGATGACATCAGTGGGGTAAAAATGATCTTGGCTTAAACAAGTGTCTGCTGTGGTTATGCTTGCTTGTGTGCCCAGAAAGCAAATAAATCTGTATTCGGATACTCACATATTTTCAAGAGCATTGAATTAATGGGTCTTGTTGGGATTATAATACTTTGCCCTTAATATATTGTGGGTATTTTCAAGCCCTTTATATTTCACTCTAATTCTTTTAACAATTCTGGGAGAACTGGGGTCTCTCCATTGACCTGTTAATAAAATCTGCTTATAACTTGTCCTCAGAATCCATTTTTTTAAGAAGTCTGCAGCTCCCTAAATGCTATATAAATATTTTTTAAAAAGCAATTAAATATTTAAACATATAAGTCTAGTAAGGCCACAGTGTAGTGGAAACATGTTCCCAGTGTTAATGCCTCGTTTGATTATTGTTGGCTTGTTGAAAATATGTTCCCTGTCTGAGGACAGCAGAGTAAATATTCCCATGAGGTTATTTTAAGATGCATTTCTGATTCCTTCTCAGTCTGAGCCTAGAATAAAAACACCGTAAAGAATACTTTTGTGGTTATGCCAAGATCAGAAAAGGTTTGAAAAGGTTCTGAAAAGAAAATGGATTCCTGCTTCGGTTCTCAAAACTTTACAATGCTATGACCTGCTAAAAGGCTTCAATGAAATTGTGCTATCCACCCAAGTCCAGGAATAAATAAATAAATTTCATGGACTTCAATTGAAACAATGGTAGAACTTCACAAGTTCCTAGAATAAAGGGAAGGAAGGAAGGAAGGAAGGAAGGAAGGAAGGAAGGAAGGAAGGAAGGAAGGAAGGAAGGGAAGATGAGGGAATTGGAGAGAGGGAGGGAGGGGGGAGAGAGAGGGAGGGAGGAAGGGAGGAAGGAAGGGAAGGAAGGAGAGAAAGGGAGGGAGGGAGGGGGAAGAGGAAGGGTGGAAGGAAGGAAGGAAGGAACGAAGGAGGGAAGGAGAGAAGAAGGAAGGAAGGAAGGAAGGAAGGAGAGAAAGGGAGGGAGGGAGGGAGGAAGGAAGGAAAGAAGGAAGGAAGGAAGGAAAGGAAGGAAGGAAGGAAGGAAGGAAGGAAGGAAGGAAGGAAGGAAGGAAGGAAGGAAGGAAGGAAGGAAGGAAGGAAGGGCTAGCTCCAAGTCAAGCTCAGAGTTTGCTGGCTTCATGGTCCTGTCTCTGTACAGGATGATGGTCAAGGTGTAGTCAAATCAAAATGGCAGCTGCAATGGTTGGATCAAAGCTTTTCCTGTTTTTTATATTTGTCACAGGGAAAAAAAATAGCATGGGGAAAATCACACCGATAAAAAGGTTGGCTTCCTTTTCAGCAACTTTTCAACTTTTTGCCTCTAAACCTGGATTTGGAGCAAACTTGGATTTAAATACATAGTTTTGCTGAACCTTTGGGCTGTAGCTTTGAGCTTTGTAAGGCCAAATGATGGATTTAGAATATCAAAAACCGATTTGGCCGAGGCAAACGTTAAATTCAAAACCTCCTGAGGCACCTTGAAGAAGCTGCAAACGTTTTATAGGATTCTTGTGTTTTGACAGGCCAGCTAAGCAGTTGAGTTGAGTTGACCAGGAGTGGGACAACATGTTCTCCAAAGCGCCTGAAGGCAGAACATGAAGCAACGGGTGGAAACAAACCAAGGAGAGAACCAACCTAGAACTAAGGAGGAATTTCCTGACAAATAATCAGTAAAATGACTTGCCTCCAAAAGTTGTGGATGCACTAACACTGGAGGTTTTGAAGAAGAGATTGGACAACCATTTGTCTGAAATGGTGTAGGGCTTCTTGTTTGAACAGGAGTTTGAAGACCTTCCAATTCTGTTATTCTGTTAAGCATCCAGCAATAGCAACAGCACTTAGACTTATATGCCACTTCGGAGTGCTTTATAGCCCTCTCTAAGCAGTTTGCAGAGTCAGCCTACTTGCCCCCAACAATCTGGGTCCTCATTTTACCTCAGAAGGAGGCTGAGTCAACCTTGCCTGGGTCCTCATTTTACCTCAGACGGGAGGTTGAGTCAATACAAATAGCAATAGCACTTAGACTTATATACCGCTTCACAGTGCTTTACGGCCCTCTCTAAGCGGTTTACAGAGTCAGTCAATTTGCCCCCCACAATCTGGTTCCCCATTTTACCTCAGAAAAAGGCTGAGTCAACCTTGAGCCAGTCAGGATCAAACTCCAGAAAGTGGGCAGAGTCAGCCTGTAATGCTGCCTTCTAACCACTGGGACACCATTCTAGCTGATCTTGACTGGTCGGGAAAACCAAGCAGAGTTGATCTTGGCTAGGATTTGGATGAGGGACCATCAGGAATCCCTAAAAACACATCTTAGAAAAAGCCAAGGGCAAACCACTTCCATATCAAGCAAAAAAAAAACACCACACCAAACCCATTTAAATGTATCCGGGAAGAATCCGACTTGGCTTAAATTGAACATTACATATTATTGCCTGGAGCTATCTGATAAAGCGGTATTGTTATTATCCAGAGATACCGCTATAGCTAGTAACCATACCTTTCTAAGAGCAGGACATTACCTCTGTGGGATTTTCTATGCAAGACTAGAAATGTTCTCCTTGGGGAAGGAAAGAGAGATGCTGGAACGTCACAGGTGCCTGTGTGTTTGTATCTGTGTGGATTTTGACGAGACCTTTATGATCTTGCAAAATGCTCTACCGAAAGACCTGGAAACGTTCCTTTCAGCTCTGTGTCCGCTGGATATAGCTATATTTACTCTCAGGTAAATAATTACAGGCTTGATACCTTTCTAAAGTTAGAGGGCAACTTTTCAAGCTTATCTGATATCAATACACTTCAAAACCATTCCTGCATATTGAGCGTCAGATTCGGTGTTTGCTTTGCGAAGCGTTCTCCACCAGCAGTGGCTATGCTATTTATTTAAGCAGATGTAGTGTGCAAGTAAATTCTTATTAGTGCATTAGCCAAGGAAAAGATTAGTGGTTGATTTATTCATGTCCCTGTTAATTGAGCCACCGAAACCTTCCTATCAACAGAGCTTCCTCGCAAAAAACCCTCACAGCCAAATGTGTTTCCAGCAACAACATTTGCATCTGCAAAAGGGATAATAATCCTCTAACCTGGCTTCTGTCTTGTTAATATCACTCTTAAGATTTGGGGAAAGGTTTGCATGCCTCCTTGTTGTTAGGAAATCCATCCACTTTTAAACAAAAAAACAAAACAAAACCTCCACCCAGTTCAAACAAACACCTTTTTCTCTCTGTTGCAGAACCCTCTGAAATATTTCACCTTTGCAAAAGAATGCAGAACAAGCGTTTAAAAACACTTACCCGAGTCTCCACGGTTGAATGTGAAAAGCAAAAAAAGAGACAGGGTGTAAAGCATGGTGTCAAAGCAAGAACATACAGTATTTGCAGCCTCTGTCCCTCTCTCCTCCTGCTTCAGCAGATGGCGAGAAATAAATAGCTTTTCTTCCCAGGACACGCAGATCAACTTTTTGGCAGAATAGCTGGGATTGGTAAGAAAGAGTCTATGTGCTCAGCCAAATTTCTTACACAGCCCTTTTTCCTTCTTCCCCCCTCCCCTCTCCTCCCCACCTTCAAACTACATTGGGTCTAGTTATCCATCAAGCTCGTTCTGAGCCAGATCTGCCACAGGGAAAAGTAGGGGGTGTGTTATTAATTTATGCCGTCCGTGAGTGGAGTGGGCTGAAAACAGACTGCATCAAAGAGGCTGAAGCAGCTACCTTGGTCTGTATGTGCAATTTTTAGCAGGCAGAGAAAGAAGTACTAAGGGATCAACACAGTCATTAACAGGAATTCAGCTAGACCAGGGGTCTTCAAACTTGGCCCTTTGATGACTTGTGGACTTCAACTCCCAGAATTCCTCAGCCAGCGTGAGGGAACGATGACCCTTTGATGACTTGTGGACTTCAACTCCCAGAATTCCTCAGCTGGGCATGAAGGAACTATGACCCTTTTATGACTTGTGGACTTCAACTCCCAGAATTCCTCAACCACCGTGAGGGAACTATGACCTTTTTATGACTTGTGGACTTCAACTCCTAGAATTCCTCAACCACCGTGAGGGAACTATGACCTTTTTATGACTTGTGGACTTCAACTCCCAGAATTCCTCAGCTGGGCATGAAGGAACTATGACCCTTTTATGACTTGCGGACTTCAACTCCCAGAATTCCTCAACCACCGTGAGGGAACTATGACCTTTTTATGACTTGTGGACTTCAACTCCTAGAATTCCTCAACCACCGTGAGGGAACTATGACCTTTTTATGACTTGTGGACTTCAACTCCCACAATTCCTCAGCTGGGCATGAAGGAACTATGACCCTTTTATGACTTGCGGACTTCAACTCCCAGAATTCCTCAACCACTGTGAGGGAACTATGACCTTTTTATGACTTGTGGACTTCAACTCCTTGAATTCCTCAGCCAGGCATGCGTCCCTGGCTGAGGAATTCTGGGAGTTGAAGTCCACAAGTCATAAAAGGGCCAAGTTTGAAGACCCCTGAGCTAGACTTTGGGGAAAACCTTCTGTTGTCCCAAAGGTGCTTCTTCAAGAGGACACTAGACTTTCTAGTTTTTCTTTGAAGACATTTCACTTCTTATCCAAGAAGCTTCTTCAGCTCTGATTCAAGGGAAGAGAAGTGAAACATCTTCAAAGAAAAATAAAAAAGGTTTCTATGGAGATTCTCAGTCATCCAGGTCATGGTTGTCTCAAAGGTGCTTTTTCAGGACTTTGTAGTTTTCCTTTGAAGCTCTGATTCAGTTGAAGAAGCGTCTTGGATGAGAAACGAAACGTCTTCAAAGAAAAATAAGAAAGTCCAGTTGCCTCTTGAAGAAGCACTTTTGGGACAACCATGACCTGGATGACGGAGCATCTCCACAGAAATCTTCTGTTGCTTACAGCAAGGGTTTATTTAGTTTTTCTGTTGTATTCCATTCCTTGCCTCAATTTTTAGCCTGGCTAAAATTTAGCCTGGTAACAGAATGGCTATCAATTCATAAATCGCTTGGAGAGAGCTGTGAAGCACAATGAAGCAGAATATAAGGGCTATTGCTATTTTATAGATTGCAAAAAGCGTCGGTGGACAAAACAAATAGATATAGGTAGTCCTCAATTTGCAACAGTTCATTTGGTGACCGTTCAAAGTTACGAGTAGACTGATAAAAGTGACTTATGACTGTTGTAGCATCCCCTAGTCTAGTCTAGTGAAAAGAAGGACTAGAGGTGACAAGATAGCAGTGTTTCAATATTTGTGGGGCTGCCACAAAGAAGAGGGGGGGGTCAACCTATTCTCCAAAGCGCCTGAAGGCAGGACAAGAAGCAACGGATGGAAATTCATCAAGGAGAGAAGCAACCTGGAACTAAGGAGGAATTTCCTGTCCGTGAGAACAATTCATCACAGGAACAGCTTACCTCCAGTGGAACGGATTCACCAGTGGAACAACTTGCCTCCAGAAGCTGTGAATGCTCCCTCACTGGAGGTTTTTAAGAAGAGACTGGACAGCCATTTGTCTGAAATGACGTAGGGTTTCCTGCTTGAGCAGGGGGCTGGACTAGAAGACTTCCAAGGTCCCTTCCAACTCTGTTATTCTGTAAAGTGCATGAGTTAAGACAAGTTGAAGTTGACCTTAGCTGTAAAATTGTCTTTTTTTCCAACATTGGACAACCTCCGTGTGTAAGATCTGCCAAACTTTGTCACCCATCGCTTTGCAGGGAAATGAAGTGACTGCGAACTAAAACAATAAAGACAGAGGGAGAATGGAGATAATCCATTACAAGCTTGTGTCATTTTTCTGTCCATTAAGCACTTCCACACAGCAGTGTGGAAAAGACCATTTGAAAGTATGTGAGGAAACACACTGGATTGACAAAATATCCCTTTAGTGGTTTTTTTTTCATTCTGTTTGCTACTTCACTAAACTTTCAGGGATGCTACAGGATCCAGATGAGACCTTCCATCCACATCCAACTCTGAGTCCATCTAAATTCTCTAGGAAAGAGTTTGAGAAACCTGGATTGATCTGATTTGTGGGGATTTTAGAAAGCTGTTAAAGGCCTCAGAATGAGGGTGGATGTACCTAGGATTTGTACAGGGATAATCCATGTCATGTTGGGTCAGACAAGGATGTTCTTTCCAACTTGGGTTGATGAGAATATATAAATGTTCAACTCACATTTGTATCACGAAATCATTCATGCCTTGTGTCTGCTGGATCTTCCAGGGCCTTTGTTTACTAGAGGAGAAAACGTGATTGTGATAAATTCTTTCATAAGTAGATGGTCAAAAGAGCCTATTTGCAGAACGTAGAATAATAGAGCTGAAAGGGACCTTGGAGGTCTTCTAGTCTGGAGTCTCTTTTCAAAAGTGGTGACTTTAAGATACTGGAATGTGGGTTCCATGCTACAACTGGGTTAAAGACACAATTTTTGCAGGGCAACTTGTGACCATTTGTTCGTAAGTTACAACATTACGAGACATGGGGGGAAAAAGCATCCGACATCCAGTTTTTCACACTTACAACCGGCACAGTGTCTCCGCGATCCTTGATCAAAATTCGGTTGCTTGGCAACTGGGATATATTGATGATGGTTGCAGCACCCGGGGGTCATGTGATCACTGTTTGCAATCTTCCCAGTCCACGGGAGAAGCCAGATTCATTTCACAATGAATAAATGGCAATTCCTGATTAAGGCACAAAAGCTTGTCAAATCAGGTGTGACTCATTAACGGCCGCATTGCTTAACAACAAAAGTGCCAGTCCCAGCTGTTGTTGTAAGTCCAGGCTTACCTGCAGAAATGAAAGCAAAACACAGGAATTAGCTGTTTTGGAATTTGCTAAAAAATGTTGCCGATATCTTTTTGGATGGAGTTAGAGTTGGCTAGGAATGAATATTATTTTAATGCATGCTTGCTTCCCTCTGGCTTCAGGGTTGAGTCCAAAACACAACGAGTCTCTCATATTTTCGCCATATTAGGAAAACGGCTCAATAAAATCGCCACCAGCATTTCCTACCCATCTGGGAACGTGGGAAGTGTGTGAAACACACACAACCTTCCACTTTGGTAGTAGCCAAAAGAATTTGGCTCGTGCTGCAGAGGAGAGAAGAAGGAATCTTGAGGCATCAGGTTCCTCAATCAAAATTTCAACAAGGTCTTCAGACGGCAGTCAACATTATAACACAATTGCTTCCAGAACAACCTGCCTCCAGAAACTGTGAATGCTCCAACACTGGAAGTTTTTAAGAAAACACTGGACAGCCATTTGTCTGAAATGGTTTAGAGTTTCCTGCCTGAGCAGGGGGTTGGACTAGAAGACCTCCAAGGTCCCTTCCAACTATTCTATTCTATTCTATTCTATTCTATTCTATTCTATTCTATTCTATTAACAGAGTTGGAAGGGACATTGGAGGTCTTCTAGTCCAACCCCCTGCTGAAGCAGGAGACCCTGGACCATTTCAGACAAATGGCTGTCTAGTCTCTTCTTGAAAACCTCCAATGATGGAGCACCTACAACTTCTGAAGGCAAGCCATTCCACTGATTAATTGTTCTCACAGTCAGGAAATTTCTCTTTAGTTTTAGCTTGGTTGTCTTCTTGATTAGTTTCCATTCGTTGCTTCTTGTCCTGCCTTCAGGTGCTTTGGAGAAGAGGTAATCAGAATAGAGCTGGAAGCGACCTTGAAGATCTTCTACTCCAATCCTCTGCTCAAGTAAGAGAACCTATACCCTTTCAGATAGGTGGCTGTCCAGCCTCTTCTTAAAAAACTCCATTGATGAAGCATCCACAACGTCTGAAGGCAATCCCTTCCACTGATTAACTGTTCTAACTGTCAGGAAATTTCTCCTTAGTTCTAGGTTGCTTCTTTCCTTGATTAGTTTTCATCCGTTTTTTTCTTGTCCTGCCCTCAGGTGCTTTGGAGACTAGCTTGACTCCCTCTTCTTTGGGGCAGCCCCTGAGATATTGTAGCGCTGCTATCATGCTACCCTAATCCTTCTTTTCATAATTAGACATACCCAATTCCTGCAATTAGGAGAAGAGGCCGAATGAATGCAAAAGAAAAAAGGGCAACAGGAACGTTCAATATTAATTCTTTTAATATTGAAGAGGATTGGAGAGGATTGAAAAAGATTAGAAGGTCAGAGTAAGGGGAAAGAAAGAAAGCCCAGCATATGCCAAGGAAGAAGACAGACCATGGATTTTATTTAACACTGTTCCATTGAGTAATAAGGCTATTTTGTCTCCATTTGCTCCAAATCTAAGATGGAAGCTTAAATACTACGCTAGTAATTCTGGGCAAAGGCTCCTTTTTCAAGACTTTGTGAAAGCTGAGTCTGGAGCCAAAATAAGAGGATTTCTTCGAAGCCGTGGAAGGAACGAAGAGTCAGGATAATAATAGCTCCTTTTCCAGTTTATCCCGTCTTAAGACGCTAAACAGTTCTGACCCTAGGCACAGTTAATTTTAAACCAAGGATGGCTACTCTTCACAAGGTAATCGCTATCACCATAGTTAAACTTTGGCCAAGGTCTTATCTAAAACCACTCTGTCTAGGAGCCTTCATGTCCTGGGAAAGTCTCTGA